CATATTTCTTTTCTTTTTCTTTACTACATTCTTATTTTTCTTTCTTTTCTATTTTTTTTTGTTCTGCATCTTCTATTTTTTATTTTTTATTGTATTGGTTTTTTATCGTAGTTGTAACTTTTAATAAAATTACTATTGAAAAAATGACTGGTTAAGTGTGGTCAGATAGAAGAAACATTGTGGGACTAGATAGGTCCTGTCATGCCATAAAAAGTGAATGTAAATATTGTTTGGCATACTGGTAATGTGGGGGGTGAGATCCTTTTTCCACCTAGAAGGTAGAATTGGATTTAAATTGGATTTTGTTACCCTCCTCCTCCTCTCAACTAAACCTACAAACGAGAGCTGCTGGAACACATTTTTTGATGATAGAAGTAGGAGGGGAAACAGTAAGTTCAGACTGGCAGATGTTGGGGGAGGGAATCTAGGGAGTTGATATCCTGTCATTTTTGCAGATGAAGATTTCTACCCCAGGGCTGGGTAAAAAGAAATTGCAGATTTCTATGAACTGTCAACCTATATTACAGGAATAGGGAAAGTTTTACTCTTTAAATCGTGCTGCCAAATAGTTAAAACATTCTGCAGTGCAGCAGGCATAAGATAGCATTCAGTATTCAGGAACAAAATCAAATCTCAGCAGGTGGCAGGGCTTGGGCAACCTTGTCTGAGCTTCGAAGCTCATCAGCGTTGGCCTTGGGATGGGAGACCACTAGGAGATCCCTAAGTAGTCCAGACTGGGAAGTCAGAAAACTGTGGCAAATTACTTTCAGTAGGCTGCCAAGAAAGCTGCAGAGTTATGTCTCCATCATCACCAGGAGTTTACCTTTTTAGAAATAAAACAAAAACAAGATATGCAAAACAAAACAAAAAGCAAATGGATAAGAAATGGACCATTTTCTTCTGCAGCTGGTGCAGCAAGCAAGCAAGTCCCTGGTGGTCTATGGTTTAAACTGTAGGATTAACATAGTATTAAATCAAATCAGGGACTGAACAACTTCCTCCGTGGTTGCCTGTGATATTCAGAGGCAAATGTGGCCAGAACCTGAGAGGGCAGAATGTGAAATGTGAACGTGAAAGAATGGCCAGTCGTTCACCCACTGCAGAAACATGGATTCCGCGCTCAGTGGCTGCAACTGCTCTTCCCACACGCAGCCACACTTACTGAGCTGACGTGCAGGTGCTCAGGAATTTGCTCCTGGAGGGAAGGAATCTTGTATCTCCCCCCCTTACTAAAAAGCCCAGCTGTACTTGGCCCCCCTCTTTTTCCCCCCACTGGAAGCTTGAGGGTGTGTAACGAGAGAGAGAGAAACTGGGGAGCAGAAGCCTAACCAGGATACCTCAGTCCTGCCTTTTACTTTGCCTCGTCTTGCATTCTTCTGAAAGTCTGTTCTCATACAGGCATCTTTCCCTTTCTTCCCATCTGCACTGTAACTGGTTTAAGTACAAATGTTAATTCTGATTTCCCTGCTTTTCTGCTGTTGGCAAGATGTTAAATGAAGATGATTATCGTGCAAGGGCTCATTTCCTCTACTGACCCCTGAACTGGTAATCTTCCAGCCCATTGCAGCTTCTTTACCACCACGGTCTGGGTGACGTCCTGGGAATAGAGCGCTCACCACCTCGTCCAGGTCACCAGAGGTAGAAAGTGGACTTTGGACTTAACATGCAAGTTGCACATGAATAACCACAGAATCTGAGGGGTTCCCCCTGAATACTTCCCTGAGTGTCTGGGACCCCTAAATTTGTTTACAGAAGTGTTTTATCATAAAAAGATTAAACATGCTTGCTGAACACCACTCTGTATAATGAACAGAAGTTAACGAAGTCTATTGCACTACAGTAGGATAGACTGTCATATGATTTTTACAATACGGCAGACAAACAAAAATGTTCCTTACGCTGTGTCAAGGTGCAATCCAACCACAATAAAACAAAAAGATCAATCAATAAAAAGTAACTATAAACTAGTTCCTTATGCTGCCAGAACTATTCAGTGGTGACTACCAAAGATTCATAGATAAATCATGGCAGTCTTCACCAAACTGGTGAATACCAGAAGTGCTAGGCTATAAATTTCATCAATCGTAGCCACCATGATTTTGTTGATTTTAGGCATTACTGCTCTGGGGTGCAACACATCAGACAAATGACTTAAGACGTATATTAAATAAATCTGCATAATGCAGGGTGCCACAGCTGTAAAAACTTGGTGGCATTTTGTATCTGGGCCGTATTTGGAGACTTGTGATGCGGCCGTGAATAAAAACTTAATTCAGAAGATCTTTTCTTTACTGAGAAAATATTTGCTAAGGTCCCACTATTATAATCATCCCCCATATTCTGATGATTACAAAAGTTATTGCAAAGGTAAGTTCAGAATTTTACTTTCAGAAACAATTTTCATCTGTTTTTCTTTCCATTTCAAGAATCCCCATCATCTGGTGATGACGAAGATGATGACGACGATGATGATGACTCTGAAGATAGAGGTAAATCTCATGTAGAGAAGCAAAGCTTGATATAGCCAGCATTTATAAAAGCTAGTGCTAAATCACATCCATCTAATGAAGCATTTTCTATTTACCTTTCTGGGATTTTCAGAGGGTTCAGAGAAAGTCTGTTGCCCTGCCTTTCAGCACCTTGGGGGAAAATATTTGCCCAGAAGAAAGACCCAAAGAAAGTTTGGAGCGAATCTCTTCTGTCCTTTAACTTCTTCCTTCTGCCTCTTAAAGGCTCAGGAAGGTTTCTGCAGAGGAAGAAACCCCCTCCTTGCACCCTGGATTCCTTGCAGGGCTTTAAATGAGCTCCATTTCCCCCCAGTTCCTGGTGCTACAGCGCATATACCTCTCTGTTTTTCCTCTCTCATTACTTAATGCTGATCCATGATTCCTCAACAGCTGAATTATACAAACACACAGTCATCTGACATGGTTGGCTCAGAGTAGGCGATGTGGCTGGAACCTTTGAGCAATCTATCGTATGTGCAGCATTGGGTTTTTATGTTGTTCTGTCCACTTATGCCAGCTATTACAGAGCCCACACGTACTGTACATACAGAGAAGGAAGCCTAGGAGTGCAGAGGGAGCATCATTGCCAACAGAGCCAGCAGCTTATAGTATAAGTGAAAGTAGCAGATCACTGAAGTCTCTGGAGCATGAGGTCAGCTTGTCATTTCTGCCTGGGTGCAACAGAGAGGATAGAGGGAGGGAGACAGACATTGAATTATTGGCACAAAGGAGGAGATGAGTAGCAAGCCACTGGTTATGAGATAGTAAGGCCGCAGCAGTTCACAATCCCTCTGGGTTACTCACGTGCTGCTGTCTTCCAATTTGCAAGAACTGGGGGTCAGTAGAGTTTAGTGTCTTCTTTTTAAAACACAGGGGGTTTTTTCTACCCACCTCCATTCCCCCAAGGTTTGTAGTTCAGGGTTGCTGTCCCTAAATTGTATGGGTCAGGAGAATCTGGGAGGGAAATTGAGCATTCGTAAAGTCTGAGTGTGTTGGGAGTTTTTCTTTTGAAAAAGTAGAACAGCTAAGTGACCTTGCTGTTACCCAGAATGGTCTTGGCCAGTATTTCTGATTGTGCTACATGCTACATGGATGAATCACTTCTTTAGCAGAAGGAAATCTGTCTCACACTTAACATATTTGTCTCTCTGTGTTCAGTAACACAAGTGCCATCACCCAGGCAGTGTGCGTGATCAACCACCCCTCGCAGAATTACAATTGAAACCATCTTTTTTCCCATGTTGGACAATTCCATGTACACACACATACACCCACAGCCCAAACCACAGTTTGAATGATTTTTTAAAATTCTGCTAAGAATAAAAGAATTTACTTGGACTGTTTAGAAGCCTTTCCCTTCTTTCTCCCCTCTCTGTTCCCTACACCCCTCTCTCTGTAAGAATGACTGCTTGACTGAGGGGCAAAAGCTGCTCTCCCCCCCTCCCCCCATGCCAGCCTGTGAGTAGATAATACCCTGGAGTTTCGGCTTTTAAAACAGGATAGCCCCTTGACTGCACAGGTAAACATGGCTGCCTGCCTCCTCCCTCTCTTAGAAGTTAGCAGTGGAGAAGCTAATATGGGCTGTGGTCTGCAGATGCCTCCATTAGATGAAATAAATGGAAGCGGATGAAAGCTATAGAGTTCCTGTGCCAGGAAGCTGATGCCCACTGGGCTGCCAAGGGAACCCCACCACATGGATAACTCAGTTAGCCTATTCCTCCCGTCTCTTGCTTTTCTGCTTCTTAGCCACCACAGTATTTATTCAGGTATGTCCTTGACACCAGGGAAGGAAGAGCCATTCATTAGGCAGAGGTCTGTTTTTTTAAGGAAAAAAGGTTGATTCATGCAGTGTTTCTCAACCTTGGCAACTTTAAGATGGGTGGACTTCAACTCCCAGAAT